CGATCGTAAGTCTTTAGACCATTGCATACAGCTTTATTCCGGGTTTCAAGATTGATTAATGGCGGTTTTTATGGATGCAAATTGCAGTGTTAATTTTTTTTTGTAAAGTTAAGGGTGAAAAAGGTAAAAATATGAACCAAAAAGTTCTTAATTGTTTTAAAACAAAATTATTTGGGGGAAAACTGTATACTTTAAACGTTCCTTTTTTAACCCTTTTTTTAACGAAGCGTATAAAAATTATATTTTATAACCCTTTAAAAGATTTAATTTGAAATTAACGGAACATCACATAAAAAAATCAATACTTCTTGGTTATTTATTAAGAAATTAAATGTATTTGTAAAATAGCAATTAAAATTAGTGTTAAAAATCGATTGTAAGTGGGTTGATAATCAATAAAACCACCGTCTAGTTTGGTTAAGTTCATTGCACTTTAACCGAATGAAACGAATCAATACTAATTACGTTAATTAAACTTACCGTTTTCATTTAAAAAAGGCGATCCGACGATTTTCGCTGGAAAAACACCGATTTTTATAGCTTTTATAGACGATGATTTAAATTTTGTAGTAAAGCGAAGTGTTTGACCCACTTTGACAGATGACGCAAACTTGAAGGGACTAAAGTTACTAGAACTAAATAATCAATAATGCCAACCTAAAAATGAAATGATTAATTTCTAGATTTTTTTTTAATAAAAATCTAAGATTATACAGAATGTATCTGAATTGCTTGTCCAAACTTCACCAACGTGATATATGGAACAAAACTGTACAAAAAGTTCTTATAAACATGTGACCTGAAATGCTTCCTTAAAAAGTTCCAAAATTGTGATTAATTAGTAACAATTTTTATTAAAACAACAAAAACAAATTTCGCATCGTTTGTTTAGTATTTTGTTATTGTTAAACGTTAAAATAAGTGGTCAAAATATTCTCCTTCCACCGAACTTGCATGGTTTCAACTGTTGGAAAATATTGTCTTGGGATTAAATGGAAAACAGGCCACAACAGCATTGTTCATAGATCTTACAAAAGCCTTTGATAGTGTACATGATTCAATCCTTTTGACCAAGTTGGAGAGACTTGACTTTAGAAGTGTTAGCTTGTCATGGATGAAATCCTATCTATCAGGGAGGTTACAATGTGTAGTTGCCCACAATGAACAGGGTACAGAAATAAGATCAGCTTGGAAGGAAGTCAAGCTGGGAGTACCTCAGAGTTCCATATTGGCTCCTCTATTGTTCCTCCTGTATATGAATGACTTACCACGTGTAAGGAACAACATTACGATAATGTTTGCATATGATACAACGACCGTGGCGAGGTGTAGCACTGATTATGAAATCCAGAAATCACTTACTATGGATCTGAATAAACTTGCGGATTGGTTTGAAGCGCACAACATAAAATTAAGTACAAAAAAAAACGAAAATTGTTAATTATCACTTATGCTCTGGCCAGATCAAGGCCAGTGTTTAAGAGATTTCGTTTCTGGGTTGGAAAATGGAACCTGGACTGTCTTGGACCAATCATATTGATTTCCTTGCTGGCAAGATCAGTCATTTCTCATATGCCATTCGGATTTTTTCTAGACCAACTGGCATTGAGGCAGCATTAAATGCCTATTATACATATGTTCATTCCTTGCTAAGATATGGAGTTGTCTTTTAGGACAGTGGTGTTGGTATAGATAGAATCTTCATACTACAGAAGAGGTGTATAGAGCAATCTTCGGTCTAAAAAAATACTGATAGCTGTAGAAGTTACTTTAAAGACTATAAAAGACCAACCTTGTATGGAATTTATATTCTGGAATGTGCCGTATTGCTTAGGAAGAATTACTTTGAATTTTTTCAAAAAAAAAAAAAGAATTATCAAATCCTTGAGACACACCCAGGAAGGTGATCTGCTATGTGCTGCCACAAAAAACGCATCTTACTAAGATTCAGAAGACGGCTCTGTACCAGAGTATCAAGATCTACATTTCATCACATTTCGGAGGGTATAAAGATCCTCCGAGGAAAATCCGATGTATACCATTGACATGTTTTTCCAATTTAATGTTTGAATTCAATTTGTATTGTATTATAATGTAATTATTGTTAAATTGACGCACTCTACGCTTTTTTTGGTAAAATGGAGGAATAAAATATTAAAGTATGAATCACTGATGATTATACAAGTTGTTTTAGGTGGTCTAATTAAATGAATCTATCAGAGAGCAATTTGGAGAACTTGGTGGCCATGCAACTAATCAACCTCTACCAATTCGGTAGAATTTTAGCAGGAAGGCTAAAATATGGTGAAGCATCGTTATGCATCAACTTGCCGAATTATTTTCCTAATTTTTTAGCTGTTTTCATCGATGGTAAACTTCTGCAACCAGTACATCCTGTTACAAATAATAGCTTCTACCCTTGGTTATCGGTTAAATCCAGTCCCGACACATTACTAGATATTTTTATGGTCAGATGTGCCTCTGAGCTAGCTAAGCCACTTTATATTATCTTTTGTCATTCAATTTGAGTGGGAAAAGCGTTTATTCTACCTATCTATAAGTCTGGAAGTAAGAACCTTGTCGGAACCTTTTGATCTTTGAAAAAATCGTTTATGAAACTATTTTATAATTCAATACAATCTTTATCATACTCAACAACAACATGGCTTTCTTCGAGATCCATCTGTAGAGGCTATAATCTGAAATCCTACACAAATTACATTCAATCGCGTATGAATGAAAATTGCCAAGTCAACGCTATTTATATTGATTTTAGCAAAGCCTTTGACAAGCTGCATTATGGGGTACTCCTGGTCAAACTAGATAAGTTTAACCTGACTTTCTGTCTACTGTCGTGGTTGGCATCTTATGTTTTGGAAAGATATCAAGCTGTAAATATTAATAATTTTATATCTAACTTTACTTTAGTCACCTCGGGAGTATCTCAGAGTAGTCACTTGGGCCTGGTCCTGTTTGTAGCTTATATTAATGATATATATGAATGCTTCCAGTATAATGTTTTGCTGCTTTACGCTCATGATTGTAAAATATTCTCGGAGGTATAATCCATTTCTGATTCTCAAAGGTTACAAATTGATCTAGACAGATTACAAATTTATTGCTCAAAAAATTCTTTACTTAAATTACGACAAATGCGATCAAAGATCAAGACCCTTGATGGTAAAGGATCTTAGCATGGATTCTAAATTACTACTATTACTTATCATGTTGTGGAATTACTCTGTAAAGCAACCAGACGCTTAGACTTCATCATAAGAATATCAAGACTGGTAGATATTCCAGTCTGGTAAAAACATTGGTTCTATTAAATAATCGCCAAGAATACCAGCCCAGATGTGACATGAAAACGTTTGATGATGTCTTGATTGTCTAATCGCATGAGGATTTTCTGCAGCCCATTGATGGTAATTATGAAATTCATAGTTGCATCTCTAGTAAATGTTGCTGTATCCGTAAAAAGCATAACGGCTTGGAAGTTCAAAATAATACACTGCTGTAGAAATCAGTAACAAAATACATTCGTGGACTAAACACAACTTCACTAAGACTTTACACTCATTCTATTTCACCCATACCACGAGTCAGGGTTCAGAAGAGGAAGATCCACAATTGTCCAGATCTTTACTGTCAAGCAAATCTGCCAGAGCGCATGCAAATACGATGTGGAGGTGTATAATATATTTGTTCTCTTTAAGCAAGCATATGACTCCGTTGAGTTATTTAAAATACTTAAAGAATTTAATATACCCTCAAAACTCTTCTTCAATAGAGCCTAGAGGATATGAAAATACACTTTATGAGAGTTTTTAAAGCCTGCTTAGTCTTTAATTACGTTCTCGTCAGCTGGAGAAAGGTGGCAGTAACCTTTATACCAAAGAATGGAAAAAAGGACCCAACGGATTCTAAAGCCTTTCGACCAATTGAGCCCTTGAAAGCCTATGTGAACATTACATTAGAGAAAATGTACTTAAAGTGTTTTCTTTGCACTTGCACCAACATGCTTATATCAAAGGTAAATCTGTGGATAGCGCCCTACACATGGTAGTGGGACGCATCGAGCAAGCACTTGATTCGAAAGAGTCTATTCTGGAAACTTTCCTTGACATAGAGGGAGGAGCGTTTGACAAAACCACCTTTATGCTGAGGTATCCAGTTGCATAAGAATTAAGAGGCTGCAATGGGCTGGGCACGATGCCAGTATGGAAGAAGGAAAGCTACCTAGAATGTTAAACATTGGAAAATGAAGACTAAGGAGAAGATAGAAGGAGACACTCAATGCGGACGTAAGAAAAGTGCTTGGAAGAGAGAAGCGAGAGATAGGGAGGTGTGGAGGCTGAAGATAAAGAAGGCCAGGATGACTTGACAGCGGACTGCAGCGGCATAGAAGGAAGAGGACCTGGTCATGCACAACTCTCCATACTGTACTATGCAGAACACCTGCTTTTACAGATAATTTCTCTGTATTGGTTTTACAATTCTCTGCAATTATTCTATCGAGTACGTCTTCTTCAAACGCCGGTGTTCTGGTGCTTTTTGGAACCCCACAATCTGAAGTATTGCGTTTAAAATATTCTGTTTTACGAGGACGTTGATGGATTGCCACAAAAGTCCCTTTAGCTTGGACATGGAAAATGTATATCAGACAATTAATTGTTAAGAAACAAAAAGGTAAATCTTATTCGACTTTATAAACTCGGATAAATGGTTGACAAAACTGTTTAAGGAAGCATTTTTAGACACATGTTTATAGAAACATTTTTTTACAATTTTGTTCCATACATCACATTGGTAAAGTTTGGCCAAGCAATTCATGTACACCTGTATGTCAATTGATATTTTTTAAATAAAAAGAATGAACAGTTAACTTAATTAAAATCTTAAACTTAATAAATATAAAAAAAAAAAAATTTAATCAAAGTTGTAACCAAAGCAAATTGAAAACGTCCAAAAAACTTTTAAATTGAAAAATATAGTTGATATCAATTTTAATATTTATTATTATAAAATAGTTAATTAACCCATTCTTATCAAAACATCACAATTTTATTATCTTAGAAAATATATATATAGAGCAATAAATTACAGAAACAGGAATGCTACAAATATATAATGTACATTATTTTTTGTTATCTTTTTGTTTATGCATCTCTTTATATATCTACAAAATGTACAAGTTTCTCTTTATTTTATTTTTTTTTTTAATTAATTTTATGGAAAACGAACATTATATACTTTAAAAAATGGCAGTCGACCAAACAAAAAATCCATAACTTATTTGAAGTCTTCACTATTTTTGTTGTTTAGGTAAATGTCCTGTAAAAGTAAAGAGAAAAAGCTTATTAAACACGTTTTCATCACACGACTTAAATAGCTACAAGTGCTTCTTTTTATTTAATCAGAGGCATGGGTGCTATTTTAAAGTAGCACAGAGTGTGCCAATATAAATGAAAGAACTTTAAACGTTACTAATTTCGTGATGGGTTGGAATAAATTGAAAGGGTTAAATAAATAAAACTCTACTTTATTCACAACCCTTTGCGGAAAAATAGACGGTTGGAAGTTGTCCATTTATTTTGGCATACTCTGTATAAGCTAAAAAAAGTTTAAGAAATGAGTCGAGATGAAAAAAGCAAAGAAATAAAATCAAAAAAAAAAAAAAACTACCAAACACCAAATATATTATTTCTTTTAACATTACAAAACACCATGCACCCAATACCTGTTTTAGGATATCCGTATTCAGTCAAGAAATTTGCAAACATATCGTCCAAGATTGTACATGAACCTAAATTCAATATTTATTAATATTTTAATTGATTCATGACGATTAAAATAAAAAAATCATTACAAAACAGGGTCGGTTCATCACAATGGGGATACTTAAATTCAATAATACACTTATGGTGATTTGAACATAGTTATGGACTGTCTAACTCTAAAGTATATTCTATTTAAGTATTTGAATAATAGAATGTTAAAACCTACTCTCATTGTCAATGTTTAATTTTTTGATCGGTGAAGTTTCTTAAATGTTATAATTCGTTCCATATAAAATGATGAAGCATCTAAGGCTAAAATCAGATGCAGTATAAATGTAATAAATACGCGAAAAAATATTTAATGGAATAAAAATTATATAGATACGTATTGTAAGTTGAAAAATAAGTTGTGATTGAAATTCGCAACTTTTTAGAATATTTAGTATATAAGTAACGGTCCCATTTGAGAGATTAAACCGGCTGTAAGTTTTATAAAGGTGTTAGATAATCGTATGGAGAGATGGAGGAATTGGGTTTGGTATGGTCGCAGAAAAAGAAATTAATGGTATTATTAAGGTTTGAAGTTGCGCAAAGGGCAGTTGATACAATTACATCTCAAGATAGGAAAATTGAAAGCCACAAACGAGAAGGACAAGAAACAAACAAGAATGGAAGAATGTGAAAAATGCCCATGGGGGTAAACGGATGAGACAGATAAACGACAGACGACGAAAGAATTTTATACGATGGTAGTAAGAAGAGAAAAAGTAGTTGAAGGAAATTAACGTGATATGGTTGAATACCAAAGTCATTGTATAGGAAGAAATGGAATAACAGGAGGTAATAAACCTAATGTGGGAAAAGAATTTACAAAAAAATGTTTAATTATGGCTATGATTATAAAACATATAATCATATAATCCATATAATCCCCATATAAGTTCAACTCACAAAAGGAATACCTCAGAGCATTAGAGAAAAGTTGTTGACCTGAAAGAAATTTTTTATAAGGTAGAGTAAAATATTAATAATTGGAACATTTGGCAGACAGAGTATTGGGAGAGTACCAGGCTGGGTTCAGGACTGAACGATCAACAGCAATCAGTTGTAGATATTCAGCATCCCACAAATAAACAAAAAACTCCGGGCATACGACATAAACATATTCCAATTATACATCGACATCAAAAACACTCACGATAACATAGGTCATAGACAGAAGTAAACTTCTGTCAATACTGTTAGACTTCGACATACCACCATAAAAAATCTAAAAAGTAGAGTAAAAATTGGGAAGAGATGAGCTGGCCATGCTCTTTAACGTTGGAAAGCATAATATGGAAGTCCAGTCTGGACATAGGATCGACGTTATTAAGCCGCTAAACCAAAGGTGATGACCTTATTAGTAAGAAAGGTAACAAAAAGATATAGGTGAGTCCTTCAGGAAAGTTGAATGCGCAGTTAAGGGAATGAGTCCGGAAGTTAATAAGAAAAAACCAAACTCGTAGTGCAGAGCATAGACGAATACAGCTTTAAACTGGTATAAGATGGGACAACAGTCTGATGCCACATGACAACGATGAAGCATAGGAGGTAGTTAAGAGAATAAATTCGGCAAATAAGGCATACATACTAGTACTAACGTATAGAGGACAAACGTGGACACTTACACAAAAAAGTTCAGAGATACTGATAACACCATACGTGACAATCGTGATTTATCTTAAGATGGGACCAATTAAGGATTGAAATATGTGGAAAGCACGCATAAACCACGAATTGTACCAACTATATAAGAAACAATCAGTCTCAGAATTAGGGACAGAAGAAGACAATAGAGGAACAGCCCGGAGGTAGGAGACCGCTTGTGAAACCCAGAACACGATATTCCACAAATCTGCAAACTGGAAAAGAGCATCAGAAGACAGCGATGAATGGAAGAGGAAACTCGAGGAGGTCAAGGATCGAATTAGACTGGTTTATATCTTTATATATCTTTTATATATCTAAAGGCAATCGATTAGTTATTGTTCACGCCGGTGGTGACGCAGGTTTCGTACCTAACTGTCTCTAGATTTTTGAATCTGGAATTAAAGGCGGAAACTACCTGCTTACAGAGGAGCTAATTCCAAATCTTCCACCAAAATAATAATCCATAATATACAAGTACATAAAGCACCTACTTGCAATTCAAAGAAAGCAGATATGGTAAACTGGTTGCTAAGTAAAAATACGCCTTTTTCGCCGAATTTGCGTAAGCCACAGCTGTATGATATTATTAAATATCATAAAAAAAACAACATATTGTTTATAAATTTGATCGTCTGCTAGAAGAAAACGGACATGTGGCTTTAAGGCTCCTACCCCGATTTAAATCCGATCGAAATAATATGGGCTCAAGTTAAAAACAAAGTAGCAAAGAGAAATGTATTACATATTTAAATTAAAAGTTGTGAAAACTCAGACAGAAGAAGAATTTTCGTTGGTTACTGTTGAAGTTTGGTTGAAGTGTTGTCAAAATGTTGTTAAAGTTGAAAATAATTATTTAGAAAACGAGGTTCGAATTGATGTGGCAACAGAAAGTTTAATTATTACAGCTTTTAATAAGAAAACTTCTAGTGAGGAGGACTTTTAAAATTTATCATATCTATCTTTGTTTTTTATCACCTGGTTTATTTTTTCAAAAAAATTGACGTCATATTTTTTATAACTTAATTTTTCATAACAAAAGCTTAATCCTCAAAATCCGTTAATTAGTTTCTGAAATATTCATCAAAAGTGCAAAAATTATTCGAGAAATAACGTGGAAAATTTAAAGGTACGCCACTACTTGCAAATATCAAGCCGTGAATAACCGTTGCTTTCAGAGAATAGAACGTTATTGATTTTTTCCTTTCTGGGAATTTTGGCTCAACAAATATCATACCGACTGTATCTGCTGTGACAGTTAAAATAAAACACACTGTATAATTGCAAAAAACTGAAAATTTTAAGCGGTACACCCTATGCTTGATTAGTCCATCAAATAGAGAATTTCGATCTACAAATCGTCAGTTCACATTCCTTGAATAATAGAGCCTAATCGATTTTGAGAACCAACCTGATGTAAAGTATTCTGATTTACCAAACCCATTTGATGAACATTTATTATTCCGTTCTTTGGAAAGTAATAAAGCGGTATAAGTTGCCTACCACTTAAATAACATATTTTGCTAACCAAGATATCGAAAATATGATAAGTTATTACAGACAATAAATCAACAAAATAGTCTGAGGACGTCATAAAAAAGTTACCTCACAAAGCTATGTTTGGAATGAAACCTAAAATGTCTTTGAAAATCTATACAACCTGAAGTGTATTAATGTTTATGATGTGTATTATGTATTAATATCTCAGTAAGAGGTATGTGTAATGTGGCTTTGTAGAAAATAAAATTTTCTATATAGGAGGCTAACCAAGGAGGATTAATTTGCAATTAAATATGTTGTCACTGTAATTACATTCTAGATCATCCTGTATAAGCTGAGCATTAAGTCATATTGACGTTTCATTTGCGAATATTTGAGGAGTAACTGTACTAATTTTTTATCTCTCAAGGTCGATTGATCGCCAAAGAACTATGGATCTAAACAACGTAATGATAACTGCTAAAAAAATGATCATAAAAGATTTAATAATCACTTAGATGGAACACCTGTAGAATATCAATTTGTCGTTCTTAATTATTATGAACTTAATCTGCGAAATTTATTAATACTATGACTCTAAATAAAATTTCTCACTGCTAATGTATTTTTAACTAAGAAAAAATCCGCTTGAAGTAGCTGTTGGCAACAATTCAACATACATTCGATTAATTCTTCTAGATCAAATCTTTTAGTGCCTCTATCCTTATATATTTGAGTATTTCAATAACAATTATTGTCAAACCAAAATCCAACAAACAGTCTTAACTAGCCATTAAAGAGTGCCTAAAAATACTCTGCCAAGATTCATCAAAATGGTAAAATACAAAAATTCACCAAAATAAATTAATATATAAATTCAATTCTGAATCTATTTAATTCATACCATATCAGTAATCCCCATTGTGACACCCTGTCTGTTTGATTATTAAAAAAAAATCAACTCACCTGATTGTTGTGGAAGATTCTTTAATTTATTAGAATTCTGTTGATAATTATTATTTGAACCTCCATAATATTTATCATTAATAAATCCAGTAGCTGAAGAATGAACATATTTGTCAGTATTATAATGGCTTTTAGAACTTGTTGGAGTTGGAACATTCGGATTTCCCATTAAAGAAAATTCATTATAAAGCTGCCTTTGAAAGACATCTTGAAATCCGGGACCAAATTCACTTTTAAACTCAGTTCTATGCCCCCCAGATCCACTTTGATTTAAAACACTTTTGGGCGAATAACTTTTATTGTATGCTATAACAGAAACCGGAGAACTCGTTAACGATTCATTAGCCTTTACAGGTGAAGACATTTTTTGTAAAACTTTTAAATCTTCCATAACTTTTTGTATATCATCACCTTCCGTTGATTTTGGTCGCGAAAATTCATGTTTGACCATTTCGTTTTTACCGTGTTTATTTGAAAGATTTTGGGGAAGATGTAAATCTTCTAATGAAGAAATTTGAGGTTTCGAAAATTCATCTTTTATAGATTCGTAATATTTTTGTTTTGGTTTTTGAGTTTTCCTTCGTTTTTCTTCCGCTTTCATTTGTTCCGTTAAATCGATTATTTGACAATTTTCCGTTTTTTTAATTTGTTGTTTTTCTGGGGTTGACTCTTTTTTACCATAATCTATCACCATTTCAATTTTTGGTTTCGGCGGAATCGTATCTTCAATTATAATTAAATCGTCGATTTTTTTAATTTCTTTTTCTTCTTTTTCGATTAGTTTTTCTTTATTATCGTTATTATTACTTGTTGATGGTGTTGTTGGTGTAATTGTAAGTGATGGGGTTGAACTTCTTAATTCGTCAACAATTTTATTTCCTATAGGGCTTATTTTTGGATTTTCAATTTTATTTATTGTTATATCACTCTTACTTACACCAACTAAATTTATCGTATCGTTTATTTTTGGTGATGATGTTGTCATAATTGGTGTTATGGATAAGTTTGAATTAGCTGATAATAACTGAATTTGTTTAGATGGTAAGATATCTGACGTTGAAGTTAAATTTGTTGATAAATTACTACCGACACCAGATGGATTAACGTTTTTATTTGAACTGTTTGAATTGGTTTGAAGAACTGTGCTACAAACTTTACTTAAAACTGCCATCGATATCCACCCATCAGGCCAAAGTGGTTGTAAATCACATTTTAAATAATTTAACATCAACGACTCTAATTTATCTTTGCTTTTACCTTCTGACAAATAACATTTTCTCCTTAATGAGACAATATCTTTTACTAGTTGCCGTAAATCTTCCGTCCAAGAATATTTTCTTTTTGGCATACGTAATTGTTTGTTTTCTTCATTCGTTAAAGATTCCCTTGAAAATTTTTTTTGTAAAACTTTCTGGCAGTCTCTTTCATAATTTTGAAGTAAAACGGGCATTGTTGAGTTAATATTTGTTTTTAAATTATCTAATAAAGTTTTTAATTTTTGTTGTTCATCCTCTAATATAAGTGTTTTCGACTTTTTAATCAAATTATCTTTTTTAACGCCAACAAACGGCGCTAAATGTTCATATATTTTTAATCTCGACTGTTTTCCAAGACATTTACAACTTCGCTCTAACCTAAAAATCAAAATTAACTACAATTTTACTTAAAATTTCATGATTTCTTACTTTAATAAGTAATCATTTACAGGTCCTGAAAAGAACTTTATCTTTTCAAAGCTTTTAAGTTTATCTACAATATCTACAATTTCATTTGGGAGGTTTTCAGGTAACTTTACAACATTTTCTAATGAAATAATTCCATCTAAACTGTTACTATCTTCATCTAAACTTATTTGAGCTTAAAAAAATAACAATTTTATAATTTATTTAAAATTAAAAACACATTTTTTTCACTTACTCGTTCTTTCTGTGTCAGTTTTTTTCTCATCATCTTCTAAAAGAAGGTTCTTAACTTTTTTAACCAACGTTTCTTTTTTAACATTAAGGAAAGGAGCGAGATGTTCATAAATTTTTAATCTGGTTTGCTTTCCTAGACTTCTGCAACTTCGCCCTAACCTAAAAAAATCGCAAAATTATAATAAATTACAAAAATAACAAATAATTACAATAATTACTTTAATAAATGATCATTAACAGGTCCACTAAAAAATTTTCTTTTCCCATCTGTTGAATTACAAGCTAATTGTTTAAGTTTATCAATAATTTCTAAGAATTCATTCGATAGATTTTCAGGTAACTTTACAACGTTTTCTAATGAAATTATCCCATCATTACTATTGCTTTCGCCATCATCTAAATCTATTTGAGCTAAAAGAATATTTTTTTACAATTAAACATCCAAACTAAACAAAGAATTTTCTAAAAATAACTTTCTTACATGTTCTTTCATTACCACTTTTTATTTCTAAACTACTTTTTTCATTTATTTTCTTTTCCTCCGCACTTTTAACGACAGCTTCAATAATATCAGAGATATTATCAATAGGTAACGGTTTCTTGTTTTCCTTCATTGAATCCTTTGATTCATCTTTTTCGCTTTTTTCCGGTAATCGTGATTCTTCTCGGACGTGGTTCGTCTCGTTCTTCTTCTCCTTTAATAATTCTTTAACTGAAATCGACGACTTTTTCTTCTCCTCCTTTTGCTTCTCAACCTCTTTTACTTTTTCGGGCGAATTCGGTTTCTTTTTAATCTCTTTCAAATCACCGTTAATTTGCAGGCGAGGTTTCTTTTTAGGTAGATCGTTTTCGTTTTCAGTCTCTTTTTCTCCCTCAGAATCAGAAGATAACAACCTCTGAAGTAAAAAAGAAAAATGATTAAGAGAAAAAATTGGTATTTTGATTTGATTTCGGTACTTTTGTGCCATTAACTTTTGGTGTTTCTTCATCTTCATCGCCAGAAGATGAACTGGAAGAGATTTCCGAACTTGCTTCATCAACCGCCTTAAATTCCAATTCGCCGGAATTAATATAAAAACCGCCAAGGACTGTGGTGACATTCTGCGGAATCATCTCATCATATCCATCTGTATTGTCTATAAACGAATCGGATTCGTCATACCCCATTCCGATATCGGCGTAATCATCTCTTCGACCTTTTCGACGTTTTTTAGGGCCGCTCAAACCACCCTAAGAAATCATCAACAACAAAAAAGAACTAATCCAATTAAAAACGAATTGACGCTAACAAATTTGTTTTCATTACATATTTGGCCTCCATTTCTTGAGCTATCCTTCTTACGTCATCGTCGTCCTCGTTGAATGGATCCAGCCCATTCGTTTGTGATGGTAAACATTTTATTTTATCCTTTTTCTAAACAGAGAAATAATATGTATTAGAACTAATTAAATTTTACAATTATTTTTAAATTATTTCTAATTAAAATACAAGGTCAGTCATAAATAATAAGTATTGATTTAATGTCTTAAACCATTTAAAACGGAAAATATGTTAACACAATTACCAAAATTGTTATTTTATTTAGTAAGATTTTCAAAGCGATTCATTGTCGTTGTGTTCAAAGCGTTGTATTATTAAGAACAATAAGGGAAGTCTTGTAATGCTGAAACTGCCTAACTTCCATGGTCATGGGTATCGCAAACCGACGCTTATAAACAGAAAAAGTCAATTTAACTTTGCAAAGGAGTGTATTTCGAGAAAATCAGAATTTTGGATACAGGTAATTTTTAAGCATAAGTCAAAATTTTTCATTTATGACGTTAGCTTAAGTCCGGAGCAAACCAAACACCGAGTCAAAAAAGAAAATTTTTGCGACAGCAAAGCATAGTAGGGACAGCTAGATGGTTTGCATATCCACTACCCGAGGGACACGTAACCCTTCGGTTGTGTTGCTGAAACGTATCCAATCATGATTATAGTTTGGGGGCGTGTGATATATCGGATTAGTTGGCGCAATAGGACTCCACTTACTCATTCCCAATGGAGGAGGAGACTTTACATGTGTCCACTGCCGAAGTCAGGAATTGTGCAGTCGTGGTTTATTTGGAAGGGCCTCCACTTAATAGCAGGGAGTTATAAAAGTTATAGAAAGACAGTTAATGATTCTTCAGATTTACAAAAATAAAAAATGCTGATTTAACAGCGGTACGTTTTATCGAAATGAACAAAGACTGCGTAAATAGATCCGATAAAAACACTCTTCGAGGATTATCGGTGTTGTTAGATTATTTTGCTTTGGGTTGGTTTATATCGTGCCATAAAAGAGATAGGGCATCATGGAGAAATGCCATAATCTTACTAAAGAAATAGTCTCACGCATAACCATCCATAAGAGAGTGGGACCAAACCTTATTCACATTTAATTTATGTTTGTTAATCGTATCTACAATAGTTATTGGCGAAATACAAACACCTTTCCATAGCAATGACGTTCAATGAGTTTGAATTTTGTAAGGAAAGAAGTTCAGATCTTGAACAAGTTTAACAGTAACACGTTTGAGGTGGGCAAAGATAATGATATTTTCATAAACCATTGCGCGATCGCGCTGTTCAGATTTTTAAGATAAACAAAGTCTACCTAGCGACGCCCAAGGAAAAAATGGAGCGACAATTTGCGCACAGAATAGAGGCATCATTGACAAAGAACACGCTTTAAGTCTGAGTGGAGAAAGAAGAAGAAGAAACTCAACTGACAGGATCGCCATGTGATATTTATTTATTAATCTCTCGTTTATGAAAGTTTAAACAATTAATAAGTGATTGAATACATGTCATATTACCGTATTTTCTCGAATGTAATCCGCACCTTTTTTACAAATTTTATGTGGTCTAAAATCAAATGCGTATTACAATCGGGTGCGGATTAGATTCGCAGTCGTATAGTTGCAATTTGGAAAATAGTAAAATAAAATCACATTATAACAATAACACTTTATTAAGGGTTTTAGAACGATATTTACATTTTTATGTATCATTTTCTTCCCATATTACGTCATCTTCGGATTATACAAAACTTCTTAAATGATGTTATAATATTGTTTTCAGGGATCGTTTTCCATGTCGCCTACACTCACTGAACAAGTTCAGAAGCTCCTTTAATTGCTCCCGGTTTTGTTAATTCTCGAGTTTGTTAATATACATATACATACACAGGTTGTAGTATGGATGTTATTCCACCAGGTATTATTATTGTGACAAGAAGTCTAAACCAAGGGCAATCATCTATGATTAATTAATATCCTTATTTAATAATCTTCCTGGTCTACGACTCCATACTTGTCTTAATCATTCCATCATCAGCTTTTCAATTATCCATCCTTTTTGTTGTGCCCTAACTAGGACCTCATTCGGGAAGTCTTTCAGATTTCAGAATGGTTTTTTTCTCAATAGTAGTAATGTCAGCAATTTTTCCCTATCACTTGTTACTGCTAGCATCAATGTGATGCGCAATTTTTCGCAACCATTCGTTTATAAAGAAATTTCCCACACACCTCTTCTTTCCAGTGTGTAGTTGGGTGGCATATCCAGATATACTACCATTTTGTTGACATTTACAGTTTGAGACAAATTGAAATTTTCTTGAAAATCATTAGGCGCTTTTGGGAGCTAGTATTAAAAATTCTTTAGTCCCTCTTTTCGTTTTTCTTGAGAGAACTAGAAAACTGCCTCGTCAATTTCATGAAATCGTCTCTTCTTTGGCCCGGTAAATTTTTTGCACGATGCCTCACAGTCTCCAATAGCTACCTGGTCTTTCCGCAACAGCTGCAACGTTACTCTCGTTATCAGCAAAAATTGTACCAGCTTTTCGATTTCCTTAACGCTAACTTAATAACATCTCTTTAAACTTTGCTGTATAGAAGAACCTTTTAGATTTTTGCTACATTTTTTTATAATTACCCTATTATATGTATAATTATTAATTAAGCACACACCACGTTCGAGCTACTACGAGGGCAGTATATGAACGGAATTCGTGCTAGGCATTACTATTTATTTTTAAAATTATATTTATTTTCCAATTTTTTCTGGCTTGGTAAATTTAAAGTCTAGTCTAATAAAAACTCGTCGTAAGCAAGGTTTCTTTAGGTACATCAGCGTCAGTCAACGGAAAAAATATATATTTATGGTTAACAACAAGCATCGCATCGTTTTGGGGTTGTCGAATTGCTCAAAGAAAGATGCGGATTACATTCGCAAACTAAATTTTTTTACCACTATGCATTTTTAAAATCGAGGTGCGGATTAGATTCGAGTGCGGATAAGATTCGAGAAAATACGGTAGTATTAAAGTCTTATACAGGTGTATCAAATGTTTGGAATATAGCCAGTATCTTCGCTTTATTAGTGGTTTTAAAGAAAAATATTTCAAATAAAAGTTTCTTTATGAATTGTGGCACATCATATAGTTGTATAAGAAAAACATTAATCAAAATAGGCGCTGAAATAACGCCATTGACAGCTTTAAATGTCAAAAAATTGACAGTTTATTAATGATGTATAGGTACGATGACACACATTTAATGTAGTTTCGTCATTGGTAGTTGTCTTCGAGCATCCACTTTTTAATACTTCCGGTGTTAAAGAATTTTTTTAATATTTTGGATACTGTAGTTTGTGTATCCGGATAAATATTACTGAACAGTACACAAACTTCAATTTGGGTACGTTTCTATCACCGTAACCATACATCATTAATATTTCGATTCTTTGTCGTTCGCTTAATTGCGCCATATTTGTTTAAACTGTCAATTTTTAAAATTTAAAGCTGTCAACGCTGCTTTAATATTTTCAGAAAACGCATTTTTTCTCAATTTTTTTCTCACACAACCATATGATTTGATATGTTCATCGCGTAGAGGGATTTATCCTCTATCAAACTATGAAAAAAAAAAAAAACATGCATCTCATTTAAAATAACAATGTTGGTTGGCATAGCAACGAAACAAAAACTATGCAAACAAGCAACTATCGCCAAATAATAAGGAAACCGCCACAATTAACAAGGAAACTTTTATTTAAACATTTTTCGTTAAAACCACAAATGGCAAAGTTATTGGCTATATTCGAGACATTTGATACACCTGTATAAGACTAATTTGATTTTCCTTGGTAGCTTAGATGTGAAGTGGCTTTCAACAACAAATGCGAGGATCCAAAGTATGCGAAACTGCTAATAGTCTCTATTTTGTCATCCCCAAGTTCCAAATGTTCCGGTATATTTCAATCACCAGAATTTTGCACCATACAGGGTGTTAGGTAAACATGCGATACAAATTTAAGCAATATTCTAAGAATATTTTGTACTACGATAATTTTTGAAAAACCTCCTTATGTTGTGACTTCCTCCAGCCTGAATACAAGCAGTCAATCTTCTTGTCATTAACTGCCGAACTCTTTCAAACACAACAAGGACGTTTCTTTTTGAGTTACACCCAGCAATTATCCGTAAACTAATGACTTTAGAGATCCCCAGAAAAAATAATCCAGGGGGTTTAAGTCTGGGGATCGAGCATGCCATGCGTGTGGCCCACCTCGACCAATCTAACGATTTCCGTATGTTGCTGTTAAAAAATTGCGAGCAACCAAACTGAAATGTGGTGGTGCACCATCGTGCATTAACCACATTGCAATTCTTGTCGCGTATGGTACATCCTCCAGAAACTCAGGCAGCTTTTCTGCCAAAAAGTTGCGGTACACCATGCCAATAAGTCTTCCTGGTAGAAATACCGGTCCAATTAGATAATCATCAATAATTTCAAGAAATATCGAATATGGTTGTCGCAAAAATGTGTTCGCACTGTATATTCGAAACTTTTTCAAAAATCATCATAGGACACAATATTCTTAGAATAGGCCAAGGAATAACCCCTTGAATCTTTGCCGCATGTTTACCTAACACCCTGTATACTTGGTCTTTGTAGAATTTATCTTCTCCGCCATCGCTTTCAACCTTGTAAAGGCCTCCTCGATTTTTGTTCTCCCTATAGTATCATGTCATCTGCAAATCCCAAAATCTATGTTGACTTGTTGTATATTGTTCCAGATATTCGAAATCCTGCATCTCATACGAGTACTACCTTCTCCAGGGCAATGTAAAAAAGGAAAGCCTATCTCCCTGTCGTTCACTTTATGGCCTCAAAATGTCCTTGATAAATCTCCTTGTATTCTGACTTTACAGGAAACCCTCCTGAAAGTTGAACTGCGACATGTTTTTGTTTTAATACATTTTGATAGAAAAAGGTTTATTTTCAAATCGTACATTATATGCAGATTTAATGACTACCATAACACCAGAATCGCACGAACACGCATCGAGGTCGATGCCGGTTTCTGATGTACGGCTCCTTTATTACAATTATACGCTAATAATTAAGGGTTAAAATCAATTGTCACCTGTCAAATTTGACAGATTATTATTAAATGAAATGCCAACATTAAAAAAAAAACTAAAATTCGTTTAAATAAAAAATATTAACAACTCCTCACGTAATAAAACAATAATAAGCGTACAATTTCTATAGAGCGGCACAATGCGTTGAACAACGGTTTGTACGGTTATCTAACCTCACTCGGTTTCGCTCCCAAAACCTTCTCTCCTGATACACCTCCTGTAACATTCTGTTCTCCGGATATTTTCGCGCGTTTCGTCGTACATTTCTTACCCGGAACACACTTTCTTGTTTAAACCAAACCGTCAATAATTAATTATCGGGCCAATTATCATTATAGACTATATATTTTAAACGTTAAATTTCAACAAATTACTTTTTTTCTTAAGAAACTCTTAAAACACGGTTACCATATTTATACCGACAAAGGAACGCGCTTTAGAACTGTCATTTTTACTATCTCTTCCCCACCAGATCAAATTCATTCTTTCAAAGTAACTAAAACGATTCGGGGAGGTTAATTATTATGCAATATTAAAAGAGGTTACGTTAAAATTAAATAAATACAAGTTAAATTGTGATGAGAATATCGGGTTAGGTTAAAAACCGGAATGAAAATGTTAATTAGAATTTGAAGATGAAATAAATAAAATCTTATTTATGTTAAACATTAAGAAAAGTAATTAAGTAAACAATTAATAACCAATTAATAATTTACATTATTAATAAAAAAAAGTAACATTTAAATGTCACGATTTGTTTTGGTTGATGTGGCAACGTTGCTACTCTTTTGTTTATCTTTTGTTATAATCTATCTTGCTTGTTTTTCTTTATTGCATTTAAAAAAACTAATAAAAAGCCTCAAATCGATAAAAACCCAAATGAGATCCTTTCAATTTAATCTCTAAAAATATCGTTGTGTTACAAGTCCAGCTGCTGTAGTTAAAAGTATCTTGCGTAAGGAGATTGTTATTTGAGGTTATGTCGGGAGCACCCCCAGGGTACCATATGAAAACAAATGCAATCGATTCGTATAGGAACAAGCCCGAAAAGGCTCCTCACGTAGAAAATAACGAAATTAATCTAAAATTAGCGACTGTCAAGAGAGGTTTTTAGCTCGTAAGTCTGGTCATAAGAATCTCCCGCTTAAACTGTCTCGAAGACGTGGAACATATTTTTTTACGGTGTTCTTTTTTTTCGCAAAAGGTGCCTCAATATGGCGACTGTACGGATCTTTTACTATGTAATTTACACGAAGGCATTTTGAATAATAGGAAGGAACGAGAGGCGTACAAAGGCGAACATAGTCTAGGTTGGAGACCGTGTTTTCCTGGATGATTTTCCAACGTTACTCTTAAACCGATTCCAACTGGAACCATATAATTTGAATTTAGAACATTCGTACATTCGACGGGTGCGTTAGTGCTCTCAAATCGTAACCATTTTCTGTTATAACTTACCTTCGAGGCGGTGAGCTCTTCCTTGTAGTTGTACTCCGGGTATGTATCTTCGTTAGATTCGGGCAAGGCTAGGTGTAGCCTGACCGTTTTAACGTGATTCGATGACCTACGGTCGTCCACCTTGTTGGAGTTTAAGGACAACGTCGGACGCTTCACTTCGGACATATTTCGGTACGGTTTTTTCGGACGTAAACTCACGGCACGGCCCGGTTTCGTTCCAACATATTTAAATACTGTCCACGGGCAAAAAACACATTATCACAACTTTTGAATGCGCACGCAAGTCCTTGCGCATTGCGCGATAACTTAAACGTCAACTATAGAAATCTGTAAATGTCAATTTCAAAATAATAAGTTGTTTATCTTATCGACACCATTTTAACCCAGTTTACTCATAGATGGCGCCCAATTCAAGCAATGTTAAAAGTCGTGTAAAAAATTATTTTTACAAATATACTATTCTTTAATACAGAATAATTTTTGTATGTACTTTGAAGATTGTTCTAACAATAATTATTATTCATTAATCAATGCAATGTCATAATCAAATTAACAAATGTGATACGCTGGCGCCATCTTTGGTGGGAAAATTACAACTTAAATCGAAATGTCAAATTTTTTGATGGTTAACAAACATTGAGTATATTTATTTTGCTTTTGTGGCAAATTATGGGTGCACCTACAGCCACATTTTTATTACATAAAGTTTCTTTATACTCAAAACTTTCTTAATCAACTGCTTTTGTAAATTTGGGTGTGACAAGGTTATATTGATATGTTTAAAAATATAGGTATACAACATCAACAACATTTCATCCTAGTTCCATTTGATTTGATTTGAGTTAATGTAAGATTATTTTATTCGCTTTCGATAATGTTTATACAGACTCTTAGGATAACGTTTACATCAATTTACTGTTCGGATTAGAATGTTTGTAAAAATGAGATCCTACAAGATCATAACCTCAAATATGTCATATCATAGGTTCAATTTGTGCTATAACATATAATAAGGGTTCCATGGTAAGTTTTGAACGATTTTAACCATCAATATACGTTTAAATGAATGTTTTTATTACAGTTTTGATGGTGTGCACAAGAAAACAACACCTCATAGTGATATCTCAGCTCCTAAACTATATTTGAGGAGGCCCTGATGGGCTTTGTTACTGATGGTATTCTATCAATTTTAATCAAGAAATGTTCACACACTCTGTCCCTTATTTTATGTAATGCTTCATTAGTAATGGGTGTATATCTGATTACCGTCCCATATCTATTTTGCCAGCATTTGCAAAACTGTTTGAGAAAGTGGTTCAAGCATGTCTATTCTTTGCCCTTAAGTCTAAAATCAATTTTAGACAACATGTTTTTTTTTGCTGGTTGCTCGGTTGAGATAACTTGCTGGAATATACCCAGTATATCTTATCTTCTCTGGATGATTCTTGTCAAGTTGATTCAGTTTATACAGATTTTAGTAAATTTTTCGACCAGGTGGATCACGATTTACTTATGTTTAAACTAATTAAGTTTTATTTGAAACTAGTTTCGAGGTACAAACCTCATCTTCAGTCGAACTACAAAGAAATCAAATAATGATTATAAACAAAATTGTTACAAACATGTTAAAATGACCACAAATAATATATTTATAATCTATTGAACTAATTTTCTAAATACTCAGTCAAAATTTTACTATAAAAGTTTTCAAAACATCAATACTCTATTTAAGATACCAAAACACATTAAAAATTATGTCACTGCAAACAATAAAGCATGCACTCTTCTGGAACGCGTTTTACAAACTAAAAAGACAAGACCAAAACAAGACACCACACCCACAAATAAAAACTAGGGTTTCAACGTAAAATCTTTTAAAAAAGTAAAAATAGATTTTTTAAACAATTCAAGCTGATCATTAAGAAGATTAATGTTATTATCTTTTTTATGTTTCATAATTTCCAGGATTTCAAGAAGATCCATTTTCTCTTCTCACATTTATGAAGTAATTTTGTTTCTTTATAGTTGATATTATGTCCTGTTTCCATATGATGTTTAAAAACATTTGAATTGCTTCTTGTCTTATGTTCCCTGACCCGAGTTTCCAGCCTTTGACCTGTCTGTCCTATGTACAGTGAGTTGCAATTTTCACATCCAATGCTATACACACCGCTTTCTTTCATTATATCTTTATCGTTTTTGTGATAATTTAACAGAAGTCTTAAAATGGTGTTGCTATTTGAAAATGCTAATTAAATTCCATATTTAGAAAAAAATATGTTGTGCCTTTAAAGTGATGTCATTAAATGTTATGTGCCTATATTTATTTTGCTGCACTTCTTTAATAAACAATGGATCCTTTTGTTTTTGAGCTTTAGAAAACAACTTACAAATGATATTTTTAGGAAAGCCATAAAAAAAAATAATTAATTATATTTGTGCTAATTCAAATATGTAATTAATTTCATCTGTCTTGTTCTTCTGTGTTAATGGGTAGCTGAAATCTCTATTAATTAAAAATCTAAAATTAGCTAATTTTTGGGACAAAGGGTGTTCTGAATTGTATGGTATGGTAGTGGCTAGTAGTTTTTCTAAAAATCCCATATTCAGTTAAATGATCTTTGGTTCTTGTTAAGCTCAAGTCCAAGAAATTTAGTTTTCCTTTTTCTTCCATTTCCAGTGTGTATTTAAGATTGTTCTGTAAACCATTGATGTAATTGTGAAAGTTATGTAAAGATTCCTCATTCCCCTTCCATACACAAAAAAAGTCATCCACATATCTAGCCCAACAGCCAATATTGTTCAGGTAAGGATTAGCTTCATTCATGATGAAATTCTTTTCAATATGATCCAAAAATATATCCGCTAGCAATCCAGATAATGGCATTCCCATAGGTGTTTTAGTATGTGCTTAAGAATGTGATTCAAATGTTTTACATTATTTTTGTTGTCAAAATGTGTATCAAACATTTTTGAAATTATTTCGATAGTGTATTCAACTGGGACATTTGGGTAGAGGTTTGTTACGTCAAACGATATTAAGAGGTAATTGTCAATATTGATATTTTTGGTCAAATCTATGAATTGATTTGAATTGATTATGGAATAAGAAGGTACAAAATCAATGCTATTAAATATATTTTTCATGAATTTGACTAGACCTTGAATCGGTGAGTTCTTAAACGAGGTGATAGGCCTGATGGGTACGTCTGGTTTGTGTAATTTTGGGAGGGAGTATAACTTCAGTATGCTGGGGTTCATACACAAAAACATGGACGTGTAGAAAGTTCTATGTGAATTATTTTTTAGATATGGGGTATATTCAACTAAGGTTTCCTTACTTACATTCATTAATTACTTCTTTTGTACGTTTAACTATTTTCTCTAATGGGTTGCTTTTAAGTTTTGTGTAGTTGTTATTTTGCATAAATTCACATGTTTTTTCTAAATATAAGCTCTTTTCCATAATAACAACTCTGGCTCCCTTATCTGCTTTCACAAAAATACCATTTCCCTTTTTTAGTTTTCTCTTTCCGGCACTGTCTAAAATATTTGAACGCGTAATTTACAAGCAAATAATAGCACATGTAGAATCAAATAATATGCTTTTTGAAAACCAATTTGGATTTCGACCTGGTCGGAGCACGAAGGATGCAATTATTAAATTTATGAATACCTGTTATGATGCATATGAAAAACGGAAATTCTGTGCTGCATTGTTTTTGGATCTGTCACGCGCTTTTGACAGTGTATCCCATAATATGCTATTGCATAAACTGCGATATCTTTTCCGATTTGATCAGGACAGTGTTGACTTAATCAGATCATATCTGTCGGGCAGATCCCAACAGGTTAAGTGTGAAAATAAAGTGTTTGAGCGACTTCGTGTCACGAGAGGCGTCCCTCAGGGATCAATATTGGGACCCCTCTTGTTTATTCTTTTCTTTAACGATTTTCCTAGGTATTTGGGTGATAATGTAAACTGTTTGTTGTATGCGGATAACGCGACGCTGCTGGTAACGGGTGTTGAGTTTGAGGAAGTGATATCCTCCACAGATCGACTGCTGACCGCGGCAAACGAATGGTGTATTGCCAATGAATTGTGTTTAAATAAAGACAAAACGGTCCAATCATTGTTCAGTCTTAGAGAAAATTATATAAATTTAAATGTCCACTACTAAATTACTGAGGATAACAGTGAGTCCTCCCGACTTGAATTTTTTCGGCTCATACGGTAGTGATTGGTAAGAAAATTGCCCGAAACATATTTCTACTACGTAGATTGGTGAATTCTGTGTCGGGTGAGGTGGCCAGAACCTCTTATTTCGCGCCCATTCACTCAATATTGAATTATTGTATCATTGCTTGGGGTGGTAGTCCAGCTAGTAACCATATATTTGGCTTGCAGCGCAAGGCGGTGAGGATCATTGCTAAACTTAACTATACAGATGACTGCCGACACGCTTTCAGACAACTTGATATTTTGACCTACCATCTTTGTTTATACTTGAGTGTCTTCTGTATTGTTATGATAATAAAGACAAATACAGCACGCATGCCGACGTGCATAGTTATGGGACCAGAAACTGTGAAAACATTTACGTTGATTTTTGTCGACTGAGTAGAACGCAAAAAAGTCACATATATATTGCACAAATCTTATTTAATAAATTGCCCATGGGCATTAGATCTTTGCAAAAAAATAAATTTAAAAATGTCATTAGAGCGTTTTTGTTGAGGAATGCGTTCTACTTAGTTGAGGAATATCTGAAAGACAGGATTGTAATTGCGATTTGATTGTGAATTTACTTATTGTATTAAATTATATGACGAGTGTAAGCCTTGGCATATAACACAATAAACTTAAACTTATTATTATTAGTGTAATATAAGCATATGGTTTCCTGATTTTGAGGTTAAAATTGCTTACCACTTGTTCAGGTGGATTTTTAACCGATATAAGGACATTTGTATGTTGCAAGTCACTAATTCTACATGTTTTCCTTTCGTTTCTAACACTGTCAGTATCTTTCTGTCTCCTTTTTACTGCAATATTGTCGAGTGCTACATTACCACGAATGACTACTAGGTACTTAGACCCTTTTAACGTTCAACAGGTACTGGCGTTTCGAACATGCGCTGTTTTGTAGATCACAAAATGATAACTACTTATAGCGAATGGCACATAGACCGTTTTGTACGCTATTGACCTTGGCAAATAGAACCCATAACGAGTAAATTCTAAAATTTGGTGTAAGCGGTACTTAAACCCTTTTGAATTTCCACTCTTCA